CAGGTCTCAGGAGCGTCCATCCAACTGGCTTGTGGCCACCCAGCTCCAAAAGGCCATCACTGTTGCCTCCCGATCTTACAAACCCGCCTGGCAAGGGACTCACCTGTGAGCAAGACCCGCTGAGATCAACTGCCTCCGTTGTGGTCCTCCTAGGTCTGGATCCACCACTTCTTTTCACTGTAGCCCAGAAAGGAGTAAGTGCCGGTCCAAGTGAATAACTGCGTCAACAAAGCGTTGCCATGGTGCTGGCGGTGCTCAGTGTTCCAGGATTGGTTGGGGGTTAGGGGCGTGGTCCTTGGTCAAACCTGCGCGGGGCGGGGCGGACGCGTCTGTTCCCTACTGGCGGTGCTGGCCAATAGGACTCCAGCTCGCCCAGTTCAGTGCCCAGCCCAGCCATGCTGGTTCCCAGGTTCCCTTGCTCCCGCTGTAGTGCGCTGTGCCCGCCAATCAGCGAGGCTGCATTGTCTGCGTGGAGGTGAGTCTGGGCGTGAGCTGCGGCACCTCTCTCAGTACCGCGTGGAGCGGGGGCGGTGGAAGGTTTGTACTGCGCGATTCCTGAGCAGGCGAGCTATGGAACCGGCGGGTGGAGGGATGGTCCCTGGCTCAGGATGGAGTCCATGATGTGGCGGTGTTCATGATGTGAAGGGACCGCGATCTTGCTGGGAGTCCGGGAAGGGCACCCGTGGGACCTGCAGCGCCGCTTGAGGGAGCAAGCCGGTGTGCGGGAAGTGGGGCGGGGAGCAGTCCGAGGGGAAGCTGGGGTCGACCATGACCACCAGACCAGTCCGGTGGCCCCCACTCAGCGCTGCTCCTGCCACTGGACTGCAGGACTGTTTTTGTTTGTTTGTTTTTAATTTTAATTTTTATTTACATTTTTTAATACATTCAATCACATTATTTATCTTACAAGGTGACCATTTCAATATATGAACTTTTCTCCCAGGTGGAGTTTTTAAGTGTGCCATCTGCAGACTGAGTAACTCTCATGAGACCTCATTAATCTGATTTCTTGTCATGGCCAGGACTGTAGTGGTGCCAGGCCCATGGTTCCAGGCCCTGAACTGGAGGTGTGCTCCCCACTGACCCCTAGCTGTCCCTGGAGAGACTGCACAGAAATATTTGCTATGATGACTGCACATTCTATTAAGTCTAAAAAATCAAGTACAAGTTATTGAGTTTTACTAAGGTTTTGGGTTGAAAAATTTGGAGGCTTTTCCTTTTAAAAAGTCCTAATTGGAAATTTTATTTTCTGCAAAGTCCTGCTGTTGTCTGAGAAACATTCAGAAGGACTATTTATCCTTGGTGGCTATTCCTACTGTTAAGGCTGTTCTGGACCAAGTCCTGTGCCAGCGGTTCTCAATCAGGGCTGAGTTTTCACCCCCATCCCCAGGTGACATTTGGCAATGTCTGGAGACATTCTTGGTTATCACTGCTAGAGGGAGAGGGTGCTACTAGAAGCTTTCTCATGGGTGGAGGCCAGTGATGTATATAAACATACTAGGAATCACAGGACATTCTCCAAGACGGTGTCCACATTACTGAGGTTGAGGATCCCTGTCCTAGACCATGGCTGTAAGGAGAACGGAGCCCAGCAGGGGGCTAAGGTATTAGGAGAGGTGTAAAGTGCTAGGAGTTTCTCTAGCATGGGGACAGGGAGTCCCATAATAAAACCTTTTGCTGCTAATTTTTGGGTCCCCAGGGAGTATGGCAAGCCCCATCTCTTCAAGGAGGCTTATTTAACTTTCATGACAGTACTACTGAGGTGGGCAGTGTCTCATAGGTCAAGAGAGCTGTAGAGACCTGCAGTTGGCATAATGGCTATGTCACTGGACTCTCATGTAGTCACCACGACTGGTAGCTTAAGTCACGCTGTTCACGTGTGTGTGCGTGCGTGCCCAAGATCCCAAGAGGAGAATGCATTGTGGTGTGAATATCCTCCATTGGGGGTGATTTCTCGTTTTCTGTCTCTCTGTCTCTCTGTCTTTCGTGTGTACACGTGCGCTATAGCAAAAAACTCCTCAAAGAAAAAAAATCTAAAAAAAAAAAAAAAAAAAAAAAACGCCTCAAGAGCTACTACAGTTAGGAAGGAGTGGGGACCAATCTGAATTAAGTCAACCTACCTGTGGTTTACTCATGAGAACCAAGAGCTATAACTGTTCAGATGAAGTGCAGGACTCCTGAGCCTGTTTCTTCCCATGGAAGGGCCGACCCTGTACATTAGACCCCCTAACCTGCTTCTCTAGTCTTGACCACTTCTGTCCAGTTTTATCTCCACACCACAGCCATCTTTTCCCCAAACTAAAACCTTTCACATTTCCTTTTCTTACCCTCAAGATAAGTCCACCATCTTAATCATGGCCTAGAAAGTTGGGAGTTGAATTCAGTACATTTTTGTTAAGAATGTTCAATATATTCATGTCTGAGTAAGATGAGTTACCAGTTGCTATTTTTGGAAAGTACTTGTGAATATGTTTTTCTCTCTTTTCCTATTGTAGAGCACAGGCACCAGGAAGGTTGGAACCATGTTTTATTCACTGCCAAATAACTACAAAATGTTAGTTACTCATGTTCACTAATAAAATTGTATCTTTTTTTTTCCCCTAAGTTTTTTGCCATAGGGTGTTTGCACTCACCAGAGAGAAACAAAGCCAGTGAGAGTGAAAGTGAGAAATCGCCCCAGGAGGGGAGGTGGCAGAGAAGGCAATGCCACAATTCCTTCTCCTCTTGGAATTTTGTGCATGCACACACATGTTCCTGGTGTGGTTTGTAAGCCAATGGGTCCAGGATTCAAACTTTAGTTGATCATAGAGTCCAGTGCCTTAACTACTATCCCTCCTGTAGGCTCCTAGAACTGTATGTTGAGGATAGGATCAGTGAAGTTTCTTTCTATATATGAAGATGTTGAGGGGGCAGTATTTTGCTTGTGTAGAATGGGATCCTTGACCATTGGGTAAAATCACATGTATACTTTTTAATTGTGAAACCAGTAGAAAGTGTATTGAAATGAGTATAATAGGAAGCTTTATGTTTTACTTTAAATCTACAAATGATCAATGTATCAGAGGCAGGGACTCTGGTTTATATCTTTTTTCTGAATCTCCAACAAACATGGTGGATATGCAATAGGCTTTGGTAGTTCTAGCTTAATTAAATTGCAATTTGTGATGAAATAAACCAGTTATGAAAATGTAAAGAATTTACATGCCAGCTAGTGGAAATGAAGTGCTATATTAAACAATGTATTGTAATACAAAATATATCAGTTTTTAAATTGAAAAGGACCTGAAGCACCACCTGGTGGAAATATTTTAAATATGTTGGCTTTGAAAGTGTGCTCTGTCTAAGACCTAGTGGAAAGGAAGGGAATGCATTACACAATAGTTTGTTTTAAAGCATAATGAATCCTTTTTTGCCATCTAGTGGCAATGAGGGAATATAGAGTTGAATATGTTAGTTTTGAAAGCCTAATGGTTTTATACATGGTTATCACCCAGAGAAAATTAGGGAATCTATTACATATACAACTTGTGGATGATTAAACATATTAGTTTTTATATTAAGATGGGCTTTATATTAAGATGTGTTTATTTGTGTGCATTTTTGACTTGTGGTATTTTTTACATATGTTGGCTTGATTGGGACATGACTTTATCATAAATATAGTAGCATCTATAATATAAAATGTTACTGAAAATATATTCTTGACTTAAGCTCTTTGAATACAAAGGTATTGCCTCAAAAAATATGCATTCTCCTATGTTCTTTATTCAATTTACCTGTGTACTCTGTCTCTTGGACATCAAATTTAAAGAGAGAGAGAGAAATCTTTGTATTCATTGGGTAAATCTGTGGCATGAGACAGATGAATTCTGAAGTATGAGTTGTATAACAAAATACAGATTTCTCTCTTATATAAGAATCCAGTGATGACAGTTGTGACAGCCTTCCTTGAAGCTATCCATAGACCTAGGCTACTCCTCATCTTAAGGATGGTTGTCCTAGAGTTGAACTCCAAATAAAGTGGCAGGCCAGTAAGGCTAAGTATAGATATCTGTCTGCTGAAAACCTTGACCTTTCTTTTTCCCATTACTTAGTCCTTTACTCACTCTGTTCTGGTCACTCAGGCCAACCCAGCTGGGCTTCAGAGCCACCTTGTTCACTAGTTCTGTTGGGAACTATTTATATTTCCTTTTCTCTGCCTGGCACATGTGCCCTTTTCTTGATTTTTAAGGTGGTTCGTTCTCAGGGTCATTTATAGAACACTTGTACAACTCTCAGAGGCCACCTAGATTACATCATCTAAGACTGCATCTCAACTACTCTCTATTTCACCCTCAGTACATTTGAGATTAAATCTTTATTGCCTGGGACAGTCATTGTGTGAAATGAATAAATGACTCACTTGTACACTAGAGCAGTAACAGCTGGACCCTATCCTCGGGGAAGTAGAGAATGTCATCTTTGAAGTCACTTCTGTGGTCTGTGGTCGGGTGAAGAGGCAAGCTGAGTCTGTGTTTTACTTTTCTGTCTAAAACTTTCTACTTACCAGTTGTTATTTTTGGAAAGTATTTGTGAATATGTTTTTCTCTCTTTTCCTACTGTAGAGCACAGGCACCAGGAAGGTTGGAACCATGTTTTATTCACTGCCAGCTCTCCAACACTAGAATGGCTCCTTTTAGGACAATCAGCTTGCCTTTGTTAGATGGATGAGTATGAATGAACAATGAACAAATGTAGAGAGAAAAAAAAAAACACAAGAAAGAACGGACTTCATCTGGGTCTTAGAAGATCTGCAGAATTTTCCTTGGTAGGTGGGGGTAGGAGAGGTATTGTAAGCAGGAAGAACACAGATGGTTGAATGTAATGGTCCCATAAACTTGAAAGCACCATGCCCCAAGGAAGCAGCATTCTGAAGTTGTAATTCCATACCATTTTCAGCTTTTCTATGGCTTTGGTCCTTCTTTGAGGAGAATTATACATTGTATGTATATTGTGTTTACTCACAAACACATGCAACAGATAAATTGTATTTCCTGAGAAGATATCTGTTGACCTTGTGTGTGTTGAGGAAAATTGAGATTTTAAAAGTAGCATAAATTATGCGTATTAGAATTTGAATGTGCTGTGGAAGAAATTGGCAGATAAAATTCAACACATCACATATTACTTTGCGTTATTAGAGTTATTCTACTCTTAATAATAAAAGAAGATATGAACTCACAGATTAAAATGGTAACACTCTTCTAGTCTAAGAGTCTATATTTTCAGTAGTGAAATGCACACTTAATGACTATCAGATGCTTGCCACTCAAAGTGTGGTCAAGCAGAATTGGCCCTGGAATAGTTCCTGCACATCTGCAAGGGGGTAAGAAAATCAAGTGAGAGGACAAAGTTAGAACTTTTTGGATATTCAGCAGCATAATTTTATATCTGTTGAATCTAATTTTAAAAACTAGACTTATACTTAATGCAACT